GCACCGGCGCAGAAATCCTCACCGAGCTTCTTCACCTAATGGCCTTCCCCCTCCAGCCCACCCTCGAGCGCTCCATCACAATCCCCTGTTTGATGCCGTTAATCGGAAGTCCATTCCTGACACGAAAGAAGGGCGATCGACCAAAAGTTATACCTGATGGGAGCAAGAACTTGGGTTTGATGGGACAGTTTGTTGAGATTGAGAGGGAGGTGACATTTACGATGGAGTACTCGGTTAGGTCGGCGCAGTTGGCTGTGTATGGGCTCATGGGATTGGATAAGAAACCTCCGGGGGTGATGGGTGAGGATCATTCTGTGTTAACGTTGGGAATGGCGCTGAAGACGATGATGACTTGAGGGGAGTGTAACTGGTTCGGACTAGGCGTTAGGAAAAGCAACAAAAGGACGGAAGGACTGTGGCATGCTTATCTTGATCATATGTATAGTAGAAAGGGACTCAAATTTCTTTCAAACAGGGAAATAGATGCATTGGTTTCTTCAAGTGACCGAATCAAAGTGGATGTTTGCTGCATGTACAGCTTCAGCATTCGTAACTAAAACAAAGCAAACCTTAGGCCTCAATCGTAAACAATGGAAAGTTTTAGGTAATATCGCATTAAATTAGAGTAAATTCTACTATAATTGATCCTATTCCCAAACCTGAAGGTCTTGATCGGGGTTAATAGGCCATCTTTATGGCCTATTTGCAACAATAGTTAAGGTAGCTATTTACGCAACGTAAATAAGAACAAGCAGGTATCAATTCTATTTGTAAATTCAAGGATCCTAGACAATAGATCTATTATTCTGTACTGTATGTGCTAGTGAGGGGGGCATCTCGTGTATATAACATCCTACCGCATGGCCAAACCTCCATCCTCCAACATACCCCTTCTTATACACTCAACATACTATTATAACTTCACAAACATCTATATCCTTATTTGAAGCTCTATATATGCGAAGAACACCCTATTATGAGGCATTAGAGTGGTTTTGACCAGAGTGCATCGTCGACACTGCCACGACAGGGCGAGTTCCCTCCCGTGGTCCCTCCAGGGGGCACGCCTGAGCTCCTACTTCAAGTCGACGTCAAGCCTGAGGCTGCCTTACCCTGGCCCATCCGCACCTTCAGCAATTTTCGTTATTTCCCCGACAACGGACCGGGCTAGCCTTCCTCTACCCCTCTTCATCTCTCTTCTCCTTCCCCGCCTTCTTCCGCCTTCAACCGTATCCTGTTCATCAACATCCACATCCTCCTCAACTCACAAACAATATTAAACCATTCACCAAACTTTCATCCCATTTCCTCACATCTTCCTTTCCGTTATCCACTGTCACTAAACCTCATCTCTCCAGTTGTCCCGTATTCTTTGCCGCCATGTCTTTCGCGCGAGATGCAGAAATGCAGCATCTTGCGCGGCTGCAGCTTGACTACATCACTGAGTTGCTCTCACAGAACCCAAAGGGAGATGAATTGCCTGAGTTTATCCAGGACCTGATACGCACCCGTCCCTACTTGGAACTCGTTGCCGTGGGGGCCGCAGTGTTCAATGAAGAGACTGTTAATGCTCGAGTCAACAAAAGCTTCTCTGCCCCCGAGTATGATGTCGAAGGGCTTCACGCTCCGTCTCCTTCGGCCACGGCACCTACTCGCCAGGTTGGTGAACTCGTTACTGCTGTTGCTGGCACCATGGGTAGGCAATATCAACGCACCCAGACCATCACATCACTGACTGATTTGCTTAGATGAGTTTCGCGCAGACGGACAGTTGGACAACGTCGAAGAGGATGCCTAGGAGCCCCATTTGACTCACTCCACTACTGCCACTGTCGCCTCTTTTTCCGACTCTGCCAGCGATATTGTGATCACGCCTGCTCCTGGTACTCCTCCTGGTCCTTCTGTGGAGGTCGCATATCAGAATGCCTCGCCCGTCTTGATGCCGCTCTTCGAGGTAAAGAACCACCTACCTGTGTAATCTAAGTTCCTTACTAATATTATACCAGATCGACATGATTGCCTCTCTGACATCTATGCCGATGACAATGCTGGTGCTCCTCCGCCGACTCCCTGGGAGTTGGAGACTGTTCACTCAAACAGTAGCAAGGTCTCAAAGGTCACGGAAACTGCTCTTGCTTTCCTCTCCAAAACGGATGTGGGTCACATCATTGAAGCCCGGGCACAGAGTTCCAGTCAGTCAATCTCTTCGCGAGAGGCAGAGCATGGCACCCCTCAAAAGGACTCGGCTACCCGCGATGTCGAAAGTGTCAGTATTGAGACTGAATCCCCAACACCAACAACCCAACTCCACCACGATGAGGTTGATGCGGGCCTCATTTCTTTTGATGAGGATCTCACTCCTGCTGGCACTATCCCGACTACTATCGGAGATGTTTCCCCTCCTACGAGCACTTTCGCTAAGGAGTGGGAAGAGAGCGAAAGTGGCAATGTCGCACTTGATGTCTCCTGTACCATCCCCCACTCTGTCGAGTCTGAGACCGAGCTTCCGGTGCAGACCTCTGAGGTTGTCCCTTTCTCCACCAAGGGAACTACTTCGGCTCCCAATGATGAGTGCACTGTCTCTGCCGAGCCGCAGTGCGCTGCTGTATCCATCACTGGTGACGACGCATTTACACCTGCAATCAGTGTCCACAAGGATAGCAATGTTATCAAGTGCTTCAAATGTGGTAAAGACTGTGATGGTAATGTCATCACATGCTCTTGCGGCCATCATTATGGTGCTGATTGTCTTAACGACGTGGTCAAGGCTTCAATCCATGGGTCCACTCCCTTCCCTCCTGTGTGTTGCGAAATTCCAGTCCCCGTTGACATCAACTCTTCTATCTTCGATGAGAAGATTTTGTACGATTTCCTGTGGATGAAATTTGGGGCATCTGATGTCGGTGAACAGGGCAGCATCGGTGAACAGGGTGACAAGTCACTTCCCTCTCCCCATTCTCTCCCTTCTCTTCCATCTACTCCGTTTACCCCATCTACCCCCTCTGTTCCCTCTCCTCCCTCGATTTCAACCGAGGAGGAAGCGGAGTACTCCTTCAGTGGATTTGGTGAAGAAGTAGCCGATAATGGAGATTCCAAGTGCCGCTTGTGTCACAAGACTATTGAGAAAGGCTTGTGTAAGTAATAGTCTGTTGCATCCAGTACTAAACTAATAGACTCTGTTCATAGATTGTCCGGACTGTTGCTACCGATGCAACAACAGCAGAGCGGACTGCAAATGCGACTGGTGGGATGGCCGCCAGCGCCGTGAAAAGGACTTGGCTATCGTCAAAACGTCAACCTCACAAACTGTTCAACCACAGGTTGCACCCTTTCGGGGACAACGAAAGCAGTTTGGGGGCATTTTCCAACGCAACAACGGGACACCTCGTGTCGAGACCCAGAATGGGGCTTGCCAGCACCCATTGATGAAGCAGGTCAAGTTTTCGGGACGATGCTTTGACTGCCACCACATGCTGCCTACTTTCCTATGGCAGTGCACACGCTGCAAATATTCAGTTTGCAAGCATTGTGGTATGAAGCGGGGGATCTTTTCCCACTGAAGTTTCTTTGTTGTTTACTACGTTGATAATGGAAATGTCATGGGGATGTATCGATGAGTTGGTGAAAATGGAAGGGTGTCGATATTGCGACGATGATGTGTGGGTGATGGTGATGTGCTGGCTTTGAGAAGCAGTCATTGTGGTGGGAGGAGGTCTGGTCCAGTGTGCTCCAGTGTGCTCCAGTTTGCTTTGTCCTTGTCAAAAGTAGATATAGTAGCCTGTAAGATAGGAAGAATATGGATGAGTTATGTATTTAAATTGTTTCCTACCCTCTGAGTAGCTTCGAGGCGGCGCCTGGTCAAAATGTCAAAGCGAAAGTATTGTAAGGTGTGGGCTGAATTGTGCACTGCTACTCTATGTCAAGCACTCTGCTTTACAACTGCGACAAACTGTCTGCCTGCCGAGAGAATGATGACCAAGGTCAAAGTGAATATATTTGCTTTGACAGTTGCTAAGAGTGGCGTTTGTCAATGTGATGTTTGTGTAGTGGCTCTGTCTCCTTGCGCACTCCGTCACCTTCCCTTGCTACATTGCCAGAGGTTGTGCAGTAACTACTAGACGATGCATCTTTTGAGTTCCTGTTACATTAATGACGGGAAAATTGTCTCTCTTTCTACTTTAATGATAGCCTCAAAAAATATATGCTTAAGTTCGCAATGGGATTTGGAGCTTCAGAGCATCGTGACACTTCGATCACAACTTTTTGGACCTTGGTCAACAGTACCGATGAGGCGCAGAAGCTTTTCTGGTACTCGAATATTATGAGAAGTCCTGTTTCGTATTATTTTAGACGAGAAAGTCAAGGTAAGGCGCGCGATGCAAGCATCAGCTATCAGGTCTATCAACTCAAAATAACGCCCCCAAAAATATAATTTAGGAGCATACTAACTACAAGTATAGTAGCCCAAGAAAAGTTTCTAAGAGACTTATAGTTACCATAGAACATAGGAAAGGAAGATAATTTTGGTGTATCTCCATTCCATGAGATGCTCTCTCCCCAGCCGGGAAGGCAACCTCCTGCAACCATGGGTAGCGGACCTCTCACTCAACCAGCGAGCTGCTTGGGTACACGCCTCCCGATTGAATTTGCCATACACTTCTGCATCGTCGAAATGTTCGTATAGTTGTATTTATTATACATTACTATTATAGCGCTCTCCTTACTGCCTCTAGCTCCAGCCTACTCTCACCTCCAAGCCGGCGACGAATATGCTTCAACACGCAAGTCTCCTCCGATTGTATACGGGGCCAATTTCAAAAGTATCGCAAAACTCGCTTGCCTTCGCCGTTAACAGGTTCGACTACTGCACCATTAATGATATGCCCAGTGTTGGTATAACTGAGCCGCTGTTGGGGTGTTCCCCTGAACACCGCTGATGCGCTGATAATCAGCTTTCTTGAACAATATTGCGCTTCTCTCCCACTCTACTCGCGTTAATCATGAGGAAGCTAGTCGTTTATCTGCGCAACAGCGCGGTCTCGGCAGCCATGGCAGGCACGTGGAGTGCAGGTTGTACGCTCGAAAGTATAGGGGTGTACTCCCTCACAACACACTCTACAGTAGCCGGGTCCCTCCACCCTCTGCCAGTCGTGGTCGCACATCATAGGTGGGAGCCGAGCAATATTAGCATTAGGGGCCGCTGGAGCAGGCTGCGGCGGGGCGTCAAGCTGAAGTTGTTGAAGGGCAGAATCGATATCCCATTAGCAATCGCATGTCTCAGATCCTTTACCGCAGCCGTAGCAGAACTCATGGCCGCAGGGACAAGCTTCGAGGTATAAGTCAGTAAGTTTAAAAGGTTGATGAGTTGGTTCGGTGACATACTCATAAGGGGGCAACCCTCAGACCGCTCGATGAGGTGACCGCAACGAGAACATCGCTTCCAGCCTTCGCCCTCCGCGAGTTCCAAGGACTTCTCCCACTCATTCTGCTTCTCACAATCTCCTGCATGTGCCTTGTTCTTGCACACGGTGCAAGTTATATCGTTACAAGCAGGGCACTTTGCCTCGTCGCCGTAGCAGGGTTCACCATCGTCGGAGGTGTTGTTGGGAGGGATGAACTCGAGGCATTGACGGTTGCTGCAGTACGTTCGATCCATTGTCCTGTATTCAACCAGCTTCTTACGATATAGCTGCATGTCATTCTCAGGTACATATTCCTCGATGACTTTGGGGGGTATCTCTTCATTGCAGCATTTGACGGGGAAGTGCAATGTGGACGAGAGAGATACTTTGACGGCTTCGATGATGCATAGATTGCAATATTCATCCCCGCATGTAAGTGGTTGGAATGCCTCGATTGGTCGTAGTTCTCCGCAGATGTCGCAGTGCTGCATTTCTGTTTCGGTAGACTCTTCTTCAGAGGCGGCGCGTTGTTGGCCCTGCTGCGATGTCGCTTCGCTATGTTCGTCATCTGATGGGTCATCAGAAAGAGGTTCAAGCATGTCTTCCGAGTTCTCGTCAACTTCGTCTTCAACAGTCATTTCGTCGTCTGAGGTGTTGTCTTCGCCTTCTGATCCCCCATTGGGCTGATGTTCCTCCGAGTCTTCTCCAGGTTGGTAGTTTGACTCTGCGTCAGAGAGACCATCAAGACTGTCACCCGTATACTCACTGCCTTCATCATCCACATCCATCTCATCGTCTAGGTCCGCCTCATCATGGGAACTGGCATCTTGGGTATCCAGTTCCTCACCGAGTTGTTGCCCAGGTGTTTGCTCGTTTTGGGCCACTGCGATGACAGACGGGTCTACCTCAGATGAGGTATTCTCGTCGTAGTCCTGTCGCGTGTCCATGGCGGAAGTTGATGGGAAGTCACAAGTAAAAATGGTGGACGATGGGGAAAAAAACGAATATCGCAAAACTGACTATTTCAAAAGTTTATGGCGTGGGAAAAAAAGACAAAACGTATATGTTGGTGGTCTATGCAGCTCTCGGCCAGCCGGCTTGCAGTGCTAGTCGTGACTATTGCCCATACCTTTTGTACAAAAGCTTATGGCAGGGACACCACTTGAGCATAATTCGAGATGACCATACTTTACCAGAGTCTAACAACGAAAAGCTTTCTCAGTCAAGTACGTACGACGCCTTTTATTCAAGGCCATCGTCAGACACATCTCAGATTCTCTTCAAACTTCTTTTGTGGGCTCCTGAGGCTTCGCGCAGCACTAACACTGGGGCCTCGATGGACGAAGAGACGGTCACATCAGTATAAGACGACGAGTACCTACTGCCATCCGACTTACATCCGACTTACATCTATCCTTGTTCATTCTCTTCTTTCGTTCGTCTCCTCTGGCAACGATGGGGACTTGACTGCAATGAGAGGCCCTTCGAGGTAACAACACAGGCTGTGGTGTCAAGCAAGAACAAGCTTGGGTAGGTTCAGCCCAACTTGGAATCACTGCGACTGACTTCTCATACGTAGGTTTAGGCCCTCTGGCCACAAGATCTCTGTTTCTCTCAACACCTCGACGAAGCCTCAACTACAAATACCCCCCTCCCACCCTTCGATCACTCAATCAGGGTCCTCGACCTCGGCGCAAGAACACCAACACAGGACCAAATATTGAGGGGCTTCGCTCTAGGATCTGGGTTGAACGCAGAATTGCCAGCAATGGGATCGCGGCTGAGGTATTCAAGAAATCCGCACGAAGTAGCAAGAATACAGCTCACATTGTCGATCAGCACCCGCATCACATTCGGCTTGACATCAACCTCGACCAAATCCTCCTTTCCATAGCGGTAGAACACCTTTCGATCTCTCTTCTCCTCCTCTACCTCCTTTTCCGCATCCTTTTCCGTCCTGCATGTGCGGCACGGGTCGAACTCCTCATCGATAAGCCAAAGTCGCACTCCCCCTATTATCCGGACGACGATGAGGTGCAGCAGCAGCAGGAAAAGGCCCCTCGGGTTATTCTTGGTCTTTGCTTCCGTCAGCCTCATGGGCGGGTTATCGAGTCGCGTGATGCCATTGGACCAGGATATGTCGAATACGAAGCCGATATTTCCCAGGATGGGGGAGCCGTCGCTTGTCGGGGAGATGGCATTTTCGCGAAAGAGCTGAACCGCTTTGTCTTCTTGTTCTGTGTCTGTAAGTTGTCGTGCTAGTTCACGCATCCATCGTTCATCCTCCAAGATGAAGAGATCTCTCGCTGGGTGGATCGCAACAATGTTGTTGTACATGCCATCTATGCTGACTACCGATGCGAAGTCTTTGTACCATTTACTATGACGTTCCGGGTAGCCTTTCTGCATCAACAGGTCTTCATTCTGCCACGCGGCCTCCATAGTGAACGGCTCGCGAATCTCTTTTGGTACTGTTTGCAAGTTCTTCAAGACGCTCTTCTTCATTTCTTCCCAGTATTTCCGTCGAAACCTCCGGCTAATGACCCATCTAGACTCAATACAAGCTTTCCACATACCGTAGTCCCAATGTACAACTGATTTCAGTACTTCAGGGCAACACGACATAGGCTCGCGCATCTTGTGATCGTCCAGCCGCCTCGTAACTCGTGATCCAAAGAGTGGCGGACTCTTGTAGCCAACGTCACTCGTCTCGAGCAACGACGGATCATCGCCCTCCCAAGCATGTACTCGAAAGCGATGCGTCGCGTTGTAGTTCTTCGATGGCTGCGGACGCATTGCTGCTTCCCAGATCAAGAGTCTGACATCTTGGTGGAGGTACGGAAACCAGTGGAAATGGCGGTCCGGTACTTTCTTCTGGGCCGGCGGTGGTTCTGCTGGCAAATCCGGCGAATGCATAGTATTCATTGGCAAGATCGGCTGGGGTGGTGAGGGCGAAGGGAGGTTGATTCGGTCATGGTGAGGGGGAACAACATGGTGATGTGTGCTCAGGGCTTTGCTTAAACTCGGCGCACCGAACTCAAAAGTCCGACTTTGTTTATCGTGGTGTTGAATCGGATTGGTTGTTCGCGGAAAGTTTGATAGTTGTGAGGCGCTGAGAGGCTGTATGGTGGAAGCCGCGATTTGCCTAGAATTAAGACGAAAAGGGGACTAATCATAAAAGGTCACGAAATAAAAGGCCGCGTATTGATCTGCCACGTTGGTTTATTTAAGAAAAAAAATCGGACTTCTCATGTGCTTGAACTGGAGACGTAAGTTCTCTCTTCCCTCGTGTCTTCAAGCAGCAGACCACTTCAGACCATTGGCTTCAGGGGAGGAAAGGCGTACCTGGTCAACCAACAGCTTCCCTCAGCTCTTTCCTAAGCTCATCAAAGAATCTACTCGTCAAGGATTGTTGTCTCGAGTTTTCAAACTTCTCCTCTCTTTGGTATGCTGACCGAAACTTGGCTGAGAGGGTGATGTGAGGAGAAGAAAGGAGGACGCAATGCATGCCAGGAGAGTCGACCAAACCATTTCGAGATGCAGGAGCTCAGGGCGAAGTGACAGGGCGGAGGTAGACATCCAGACGGCAAGGCTTTGTCATTCCAAGTTGCACGGAAGACAACATTGTTGCAAACAATCCAACAAAAGGGGTTCTGGAACTATGGAACTATCTCACTCGATAGCAACTATCTCTTTCTACAAGGACAACAACAATATTTCTCGGCTGAATATTGACCCACGCGAAGTAGGTCTATGATCTGATTGATATCCATCTCCCCTGGTCAACCACAGAAGAATTTCGTCCCCAACAGATTCTAGACCCAACAAGGCTGCAGCAAACACAGATCAAGCACGATTAACTTCCTCTGATCGGCTGATCAACTGCAAGAAATAACAAGGGATACTTCTGTGCCTTGACCATGGCTTTTCAAGTTTGCGTCGTAGTCAGAACATTCTCGTCAGTCTCTGTCCCGGAACCCCTATTCCGGAAACCTTGATTCAGCCTCTTCTCTGACCTCGCAAGGCCGGCCCTAATCGGGCAACTGGTGTTCCTGCATATGAAAAGGAGGTAGTGAGAACTTGGTTTGGTAGTGGCCTCCAAGACTTGCTAGACCCGTATTGCCGAGCCTGCTGAGCAGTCGGTAATGGGCCTTCGGCACGCGATTGGATGGTGATTTTGCAGTTGAGGCTGCAAGATGCCTCGCTTAGGTTCTAACAGTTTCCAGGAACGATCCTTGTATCACAGCGGTTGGTTGAGATCAAAAACTCTATCTTAGACAATAGGTGGTTCAGTTGACACGGCATTTTCTACCAAGTTCCCCGACGTAACCGTTTTATCCTTGGCGTTAGATCTAAAGAGGACTAGGAGGCTCTTTTCTGCATGTTTCACCGGTAATAACATATCACAGTGACAGATCAACTATACCTATCAGGTATTTTCCTCCGATGTCATTCGTGTCATACGTAGTCAAGTCGGAAGACCCGACGTTGAGTTTAAACTTTATGTCTCAACCAACAGGGATCAAGGCGTGAGAGGCCCGCGGGACCACAGGCCGAATAAGCGGAACCCCCTAAACGGGCATATCCGAGTGAAAATCTCTGAGTCGATCACCACGATTCGCTGTAACCGAGGAGCCACCACAATCCTTGGTTATAGCAGGATATCAGTATAACGTCACTGCCTACGTTCTATGACCCATTAAGTCATCTGGATATCCGAGCTGAAAACAAGGGTTTGTGATATTTGGATCTGCAATGCGTGGGGATTTCGTAAACCTGTGGTCTAGACCCTGACCCCCCTGTCCTTGGCCGTGCTCCCGATAGAGCATTGATTGGCTCTCGTTGCAAATGCATCAAGACCCTTACAGCGAAATCTCAGAATTCCCCCCCTTCCTCTTCATCGCGAATTTCTTCAGTCGAGAGAGAGACACAAAGCCACCATCGGCTAATTCGCCAAGGACCCGATGCGATAAATGATTACCGATGTGGGAGGACAGAATAGGAAATTCGAGTACCCATATCTCCAGGCCCGTCAACGGGGTTGACAGGTAGACGGTCCCCTAAAAAGATTAGATTGGGCTGACTGCGCCGCAATGATCGCTACAAGACTCCCTGTCCCGTCGCCGCCTCCCTCTCTCCAATGCCGTCTTCCCAGAGGTAGCCCACCCACTTTTCGTTCAGTTGATCCCCGAAGGACAACGGGCACAGACACAGACACAAGAGAAACATCCCACTTTCAACGTCACCTCGACGACTTCATCTCGATCATCTCCGCCTCTTGATAGATAGATCTTCTCCTTCTCCTCGCAGCGAGAACGATAAATCCATTCATCCATGTCTGCGGTCTCGACACCCACAAGCTTCGTTGCGAGGTAACGAACGATGCGGCAACGCATTCTCATCGTTATCTCGAAGCTAATCTGAGCCTGACTCCTCCATTCTCTCAATCCATTGATCTTGATTCGCCCTCTGTCCAACATGGCCGCCAATTGGCATTCTCTCATCGCGAGAGCGGCTTTTGAGTTGCCAGTCGTAAGTTAAACTTTTTTCTCATCAACTCTAACTCTATTCCCACTTCAACGTGGCTGACCATCATCTACTTTCAGGAGGGCGATGACTCTCGGGTTGGTTCTACGCGAGATGGTTCCAGTGGCGGTACCCTGAGCTCCAACAACGCTTCAAAATCATCATCGCTGCAATCTCTTGGAGGAACATTTATACCTGTCGTCATTTACTGCGCTGTTTGTCTCTTGTTCTTTTCGGTTTTTCGCGTGAAATGCCATCGAGTCTACTCCCCTCGGTCGATACCCAGCTTGCGTTCCCCTCAGTAAGCAAGCAGCAAATCTTTCAGCTCTCAATCATTGCTGACAGCCTCTGTAGCACCCCCATACCGCCACTTCCCAATGGCTGGTTCAACTGGATCAAGCCATTCTTCAAAACTCCAGATACTTTCGTTCTTAACCATGGCTCGCTTGATGGGTTCTTCTTTTTGCGATACCTCAAGGTCCTGCGAAACACTTTCCTTGTGGGCATCCTGATTGCTTGGCCAATTCTCTTTCCCGTCCACCTTACTGGAGGCAAGAAGCTCACCCAATTGGACATGTTGACAATTGGTATGATTGAGAACAAAAAGCGCATGTTTGCCCATGTCGCTGTTGCCTACTTGTTCTTTGGTAAGTACTTAAACGACAGCGCTCAATGGCACCGCTAATTGATCAGGCTTTATTCTCTTCACTGTCATTCGAGAGTGCTTCTACTATGTTGGTATTCGTCAGGCTTACCTCTCGTCTCCTCACTATGCCAAGCGGCTATCATCCAGGACAGTACTCCTCACTTCTATCCCTGAGCGATACCTCGACGAAGCTCGGTTGCGGAAACTCTATGGCGACTCTGTGAAGCGAGTCTGGATTCCACGCACTGCCAAGGCTCTCGTCAAATTGGTGGAGGAACGAGAACAAACGGCGATGCGCCTGGAAAAGGCAGAGATTGCGCTCATCAAAAAGGCAAACATGGCTCGAAAGAAGCAACTCGGCAAGAATCCACCATCGACTGCATCCTCCGCCGAACCATGCGCCGGACCATCTTCTGGAGATTCTAGTTCTTCGTGGAGGACGGAACCCAGCAGCGAGGAGCCCCGTACGAGCTCCCCGCGACGTGTCGAGACATCGGACACTCACGTACAAGAGACCGAGGAGGGAGGGGTCCAGAAGCACAAGTCTGCGCCTGAGGTATCCGAAAGAACTAGAACCAGCAACGCCCACGATATACTCGAAAAGTCCGCCGAGGACCCTGAATATGTGCACCCCTACGGCCTCAACCCAGATCTCCCCGATGTACGAGGATCCGTCGCCGCTCAATGGCTCTCCGTGACGGCCAGACCCCACCACCGTCCACTGCACAACTTCTTTCGACGAGTCGACACTATTCGATGGTGTCGCATGAAGTTGAAGGAATTGAACCTCGAGATCTTCAAGCTCCGACGCCAGGTTCGCCGTGGTGATGGACAGACACTCCCAGCTGCATTCATCGAGTTCGACACGCAGGAAGCTGCGCAAGCTGCTCACCAAGTCGTCGCCCATCATCGCCCTCTTCAACTTGCTCCTCGTCTTTTGGGCGTTCGACCAAATGAGGTGGTCTGGAGTGCTCTTCGAATGCGTTGGTGGGAGCGCATCATCCGGCGTTTGCTCATCATGGCTCTTATTGCCGTTGCGATCATCTTTTGGTCCATCCCATCTGCCATGATCGGCATCGTGTCCAATATCAAGTTCCTGAGTGGTATTGTCTTCCTTAAATGGATCAAACTATTGCCCAGTCCTATCCTTGGCTTCCTTCAAGGTTTCATCCCTGCGATCGCTCTGTCGTTCTGGATGTCGCTTGTCCCGGCAATGCTCCGATGTAAGTCTACTATTACCGATCCCCTGTTGCAACTACTAACTCCCCTAGTCTGTGGCGTCCAAGCAGGAATTCCCTCTTTGGTACTGGTCGAACTGTTCACCCAAAAGGTCTACTTTGCTTTCCAAGTGGTACAAGTCTTTTTGATCACGACATTGACATCGGCCGCTTCCGCCACGACAATGCAAATCATCCAGCAACCAATGTCGACGCCTAGTCTCCTCGCCACAAACCTTCCCAAGGCGTCAAACTTCTACCTTTCGTACATTCTTGTACAGTGTTTGGCCATAGGAGCTACCGGTCTCCTACACATCTTCGAGCTAATCAGACATCACGCATTCGGTAGAGTGGTACAGAATCCCAGGACTCGCTTCAATGTTTGGTACAACCTACGTCCTCCTCGCTGGGGTGGCATCTTCCCCATCTACACAAACATGGCGTGCATTGGTAAGTCGTATAGCCAAGAATCCCCTTCTATGCTAACACCTCTAGCCTTCTCTTACACAGTTATCGCTCCATTGATCCTCCTCTTCGCATGCGCCGGAATGGCTTTTACGCGCCTCATCTACCGATACAACATTCTTTACGTCTTCGACTCGGAAATGGATAGCATGGGATTGTTTTATCCCACCGCCCTAATGCAGCTCATCACAGGACTTTACCTGGCCGAAATCTGCATGATTGGTCTCTTTGCGATCAATTTCGCCTTCCCGCCTATGGTGTTGATGCTCATCTTCCTAATCTTCACCGTCATAGTGCACATGTCCTTGAGAGAGTCGATATCACCTCTGCTGCAGAATTTGCCACAAACATTGGCATTGGAGGAAGAACTACAGGAGCAGGAGAGGGCTGAAGCAGAGGCAAAACTTCAAGCAGCTGCGGAGTCGGGAGAGGCCAATGGTGGAACTGCTGCCAGTTACTTCGATACGGAACAGAACTTTGGTGAGGAAGAATTCGAGGACACGCCGACAGATGACGAAGACGAGCAACTTCACGAGGGACCACAGAGCTCAAGGGCTGTCGAGGGCGCAGGTGGTTTGAGATTGATGGCCACAGAATGGATAAAGTCAAGCACCAAGGAGCAATTGAAGAAAGAGGTGCAAGAGTCAGGAGTTAAGAAGTTCTTGGACAGATGGATTCTCCCTGCCAAGAGGTCAAACCCGGATCAACCACCATCCTTCATCCAGCGATTCTTCCACCCCGAGATCTACGAAGACTTTATCGCCTTGCGAAAACTAATTCCCTTCGAAGAACTCGCTGACGCAGACTACTCAGGAGACGAAAAGCTATCTAACTACTGGCCTCCCGAGCTCTGGATGCAAAAGCCCGTCTTGTGGATCCCTCGCGACGAAGGCCGCGTCAGTCGCCAAGAAGTTGCACACACGAGAAAGATTACGCCGATCACAGATGTCGGTGCTTCACTGGACGAGAAGGGACTTGTCGTCGTTGATGTTGAGGCTGCGCCGTTTCCTAGGATGAGAGTGGTGCACTGAGCTAGTATGATGTACGATAGATCTTGCCATGATACCCTCTTTTGCATATAAGCGTTGGATAATATTGCACTTTAATACATTTACAATACTGACGATTTCGTTCCTGGTGTGCTGGTGACTTCGCCGTAGTATGCCTTGTCGTTGGGTTCACGACCGAGAAAGTTGCTGAGGCTTTTGAGCTCCGGTTGACTTCCTCCTGGTTGAAGAACAAGCTCGCGGTATCGTAAACCAGTAGTCTTATCCATTGGGTCATCTTTGAAGTGGCTAACCCAAAGATCGGTCGCGTACACCTTTGATCTGCGACTCGTTAGCAACACTTCTTAATGCTCGTCGCGTGACGACTTACAGGGCATAAGTAAAATACGCAGCATCATACGCCCTGAACGGATGCGCAAACGACGCCTGTCCAATACTATCCGCCCTTCCCAATCCCATGATCTCCGTCTTACTCTCATTCCACAACCTCGTCGTATCAACCGCCCTCCCCTCCTCCGCATTATGAATCGTAAGATCAAACAGCGCCAAAAACACCTGATACAGCATCGCATGCGCCCCATTAACATGTTTCGTCCTCGCGATATCCATCGCTAACTTCTCCGGTAGCACCTCACCCGGTCTTTCACCCTCGTTCTTAGCATTCCAGAAGCTTAGGTACTCGGAGGATAGGTACGAGTAGTGTTTTCCTAGGCGTTGTAGCACGGAGGGCACCCAGATCCAGTTCTCGAGAAGAATGCTCGGTATCTCGACAAAGTCGCGTGCGCAGCCGTGTTGGTGGTTGGTGTGTGTCACGAGCTTGTGGATTGCGTGGCCGAGTTCGTGAAACATTGTTTTTAGCTCCGAGTGTAAGAGGAGAGTTGGCTGGGAGGGCGTGTGGAGCAGGGATGTTATTAGTGATGAAGAGGGATAATGGCGTTTGTTGTCTGATGTTACAAAGCCCTGAGACTGTGAGTAGATAGCTCCGTTCGTTGGGCTGGGAGACTTACAGGCTGGATGAGAGAACTATGCGCACCAGCATACTTCCCCTCTCGTGCATAAAGATCAAGGTAAAGATACCCAAGGAACTCACCACCTTGATCCTCAGCATTCCACGCCTCGTAAACAGTCACATCCTTCTGCCAAACAGATGCATCGGTGGGTATGAACACCATCCCAAAGATCTCCTCAAAGATGTTCAACATACCCTTCAAACTATGGTTAACCTCAAAATACTCCGAAATCAGCAGTGAATCAACAGAATATCTCTCCTTCTCCAATATCCTCGCATAGAACGCCCAGTCCCATGCATTCAACCTCTTCACATCATCCCCATCCTCATCTGTGCCGTTATCTCGGATGTAAGCCTTCTTTATCTCAAACAAGGTCTTCATCTCGTCATCTGCAAGGGGCTTCAACTCTGTTCTCAATTTGTTCAGCATTTCCATGACGCTCTCGACACTTTTTGCCATCTTATCTTGCATCTTGAGTTCGGCGTGGGTGTTGAAGCCGAGCATTCGCGCGGTGCTGTTGCGTAGCTCGACGGCGCGCTCAAGACGGGTTACGTTCTCGGGAAAGCGGCTTTCTTTGGCGATGTTGTATGCTTTGCGTGTTTGGGCTCTGGTGGCGTGTTTCATGATTGAGATCATGTGGCCTTTTTTGAAGGTTGCTTTGAGGAGCCCTTCATCATTTGTCTTCATTGCGTCGAGAATTGATGCTGGTACACCGTTGAGTTGCTCCCGCGTGAAGAAGATACCGTCGTCGGATTCGCTAATGGTCTTGCGCACTGCAACGAGAACTTCATTTCGTTTTTGCACAGCAGCTTTGTACTGTTCCCTCACATCCTCATCCTCGATGCCCGCTCCAGTGTTCTGGTAAGCCCTATGCGTCTTGAACAAGGTATACACATCCTCCTCTCCCAGCTTCTCCTCCCCACGCCGATGCTTCTCATAAACAGCTTTAACGAGAGCAGCTATATCCCTCCTCATGAGAGCCTCAGAATTGGCTTTAAGAAGCATCTCCTCCGCTGTGCGCGATGCATCGCGGAGATCTTTATCCTCTGACACAGAGCTGAAGAGACGGATGATGAGGGTTTGTTTAGATACTGCGTGATCATCATTTAGCATGGGCGTAAGAAGACTTTCGAATGTCGCGGTTGAGGGCGTGAGTGTTGATGAGAGGTCGTCTTCGAGAGCTGTGGTTGATGAAATGAGGGATGATGTCTGTGAGAGGATGGCGGAGGGTGTCGTTGTGAATGAGGGAGGTTGTTGTGGTGGTTTACGAGACATTGTGTGAATATTCTGAAGTTTTCTTTTTGAGAAGAGGAGAGAGAGTGGTTGCGGGCGGGTGAGAAGGAGCATAAGTCTCATGAGTGATGTTGTAGATGTTGAGTTTTGGAAGCGCCAAACTGCGGGGCTGGTGTTTGCTGAAGATCCATCAAGAAACGATCGAAGCATAACAGCTCAATATTGCTTCGTATAGATACAGGTAGTAGCCTTCGATAATATCAGCTTTCAATTTCCGAACTTTTCTTTGTTTCCCTGTCTTTTTCGCCGAACGATGAGGTCTCAAACTACTTAAAGTGAAGCCCTCGGCATCTACCTAAGCTTTGCTCACAAGTCAAACATGGGAAACTAGGTTGACGACAATCACGAAACTACAGCATAAACAGGAACAATGTAAATGTCTACATGAAGACCCTGTGGCATCTATAATGCTACCTGATTAAAACCTACTCAACCCGAGCATTGCTTCCCATTTAGTGGCCATATTATCGCGGTCGTTTTGTACCAGCGTGTTTGGGTCGCTATTTACCCTGTATCTGTATGGGTTCTGTGTAAAAAAGAAGCTTTATTTCATGGCTTGTATTTGAGATCACTGTTGGAATGATAGCTCACTAGAGAGAGTTACTCAATTGCATCTTGAAGCCAAGTGGATTCAACTTGTGTTCCATTCATGTCAATCATACTTCATCGTGGCTCAGACTGCCCACAACCGCCAACACCATCGCTCACTTTACAAGTGTACAACCAACCCAACCATTTAGAGAATTCTACTGCATAACCAAGACATTTCTGAACCGAGGCTTTCCAGCCTGAAGACTCTCAACAGCATCTTTTACCTTGTCCAAAGGATACTTCTCAATCATACACTTCACTCCATGAATCATGGAGAAGCGAAGAGCCTCCTCGCTATCGAGGGCATGACCACTAGGCCAACCAACAATACTAGCCCCTTTCAAGACCAGCGATACCGTATCAATCTCTGCTGGCCCAACAGGTGCAAGACTAAGTAGCTTGCCCTCAGCAGCGAGACCATTGACGAGTGGTGCCACAGCCTTGGGGTTGGGTGCTGTTTGGACAATGATGGCGGCACCACCAAGCTTGGTGAGTTCTTCAGCTGGGTCGGACTTTTTGGTGTTGATGTAGTGATGAGCACCGAGTTGCTTAGCAAAGTCCGCCTTATCGTCGCCTGATGAGAGGACAGCGACTTCATAGCCCATCTTGTTGGCGTATTGAACAGCCAGGTGGCCAAGACCACCAAGACCCTGGATCGCGACGAGATTTCCCTGCTCGACATGCAACTTTCGGATTCCATTGAAGACAGTGACACCAGCGCAGAGAAGAGGAGCAGCCTCAGCAGGATCCAGCTCCTTCGGGACACGAACAACAGCCTCCGCTCTCAAGAGTACATACTCGGCAAACCCACCATCCTGACTGACACCATTGATTGCCTTGTTGTCGCACATCTGGAATTGAGCGCGCTGGCACTGTCGACAAGTTCGGTCATGGCCACCGTGCCAAGGTCCTCCGACACGGTCGCCGTTCTTGAAGTTCTCAACGCCTTCGCCGACTTCGACTACGTCGCCGATGATCTCATGGCCGGGCACACGGGGGAAGACATCGCCCATGTGGCCAGCGCCAGTGGCGATGTCTGAGAAGCAGACGCCGCAGGCGAGGACCCTGGCGAGTATTTGACCTTTAGAGGGGTGTTTTAGGGGAACGTCGCTGAGAGTCCATGATGCGTTGGCTTTGTCGAGGACGCAAGCCTTGTAAGTCTGAGGAAGAGAAGACATGGTTGATGTTGATTTGACTTTTGATTGAGACTTGTTAATTGAATCGGTAAGATTGCGATGATATGAGATTCTCAACGAGGAGAAAGCAACAACTTATATACAACAACTCCTCAATGCCGATACCTCAAAGAGCGTCTACACTAGCCATGCATCATATCTTGCTAAGGGTGCATTTACCTCCATTGGCGATTGGCTAACTCCGTCCTCCGATAAGGAAAGTTCAGCGCATCATTGCAAGCGGAATAAACTCAACTGTCGCAAAGATCCGAGTGTCATTGGACAATTCCCGGATTTAGGGCGGCCGACGATTACATCACCGGCACTTCAGCCGTGCCGTTCTTGGTGTTGATCTCGGGCGTGTGTAAAGCCGTAAATGGCAGTCGGAAATGCAGTCATGAATTCTTCCAAAACCGATGGCCCCTCATTGGCCCCCAATTAATCCGAAAGCTGGGATGATCCGAGAGCTGGTGGTCAAGCCACAGTTCAGCCACACCAGAAAATTTCCCCCACCATCAATTCAGTTCGCGATGCGCAGAGCTCCAAGGAACAGACGGTAGATACTTCATTACCGCAAGATGCCTCTCGATACGTCAACATACTCATTAGCGCTCCTGCGCGTCGACGGAAGAAGATGGAACGAGCTCCGTCGTCTGCATGCTCAAATCCGAACTCAGGATGCTGCTGACGGTTCATCATATCTTGAAATGGGCCATACAAAAGTCATGTGCATCGTGACAGGTCCTTCAGAGCAGCAGGTTCAGAGACGTGGTGGACAGCAAGCGCCTCGTGACACAGCGGCTATCAATGTCAATGTTGTAGTAGCGGGCTTTTCGAGCGTGGATCGAAAGAAGAGAGGGCGCAATGACAAGTACGTTTCTTTCTGGGCAATTGATGACTTGGGACTAATTGTTTAGGCGCATACAAGAGATTGAAACAACGATTGCGAATGCGTTTTCTTCGAACTTACATACACACCTGTTTCCTCACTCTTCCATCACAATCTCTCTCCACGTTCTATCGCAAGACGGATCCCTCCTCGCCGCTCTTCTTAACGCAACGACCCTCGCCCTCATCGACGCTGGTATTCCAATGACAGATTACATTGCCGCCTGCACAGCGGGCTCAACATCAACATACGCCGCGGGTGACGACACAGCCGATCCTCTGCTCGATCTCAACAACCAAGAAGAGCAAGAACTACCCTTCTTGACGGTTGCGACACAAGGTGATGACGATCAGGTAGCTGTATTGGTATGCGAGAGTCGTGTGCAAGTTAGCAGGTTGGAGGGAATGCTGGTCGTTGGCGTGGATGGGTGTAAGCAGGTGAAGCAGTTCTTGGATCAGGTAGTCAAGGATAAGGGTGCTGAGATGTTGAGGGAGGGTGCGGTGGAGAAGAACGATGCTATGGGAATGGATTTGGATGATTAGATACCATGTGCATTGGGTCATAGAAGTGTTTGGAGTTATCTGTTTGATCTGCTATATGACAGGTATGTCTTCGCTACCAAGGCTATAGTCACAGACTAATTGTAAGATTTAAGGGATCCATTCCCCTTACAGCTCCTCGTGCTTGATCTCCTCCTTGGTCTTGGGCTCAGCTTCAGACTCAGCAACAGGTTCAGCTTCCGGCTCAGGGGTCTTGGTCTCGGCCTCAGCTTCGGCTGGAGTCTCAGACTGAATCTCAGCCTCGGTCTCAACCTCAGTCTTGGCTTCCTCAGGACCGTCAGTCTCAACCTCGGGCTCGGGGTCAGTAGCTTGAGTAGACTTCTCCTCAGCAGCCTCGGTCTTTCCAACGACAACACCCTCGGGGATCTTCTTCTTAGCACCCTCGCCCATGCGAATAGCATCGATCCAGTTCTCAACGCTGGCGAGGCTAAAGTCGCCTTCGTACTGACGCCACCAGTTGCGGCGGGTGTTGATAGCGATCAGGTTGACCTCCTTCTTGAAACCAAGAGCCTTGGGAAGAGTAGAGGCAGCTTCACTATCACTGGGAACAGCGATGATGGGGAAGGTCTTTCGGCCACCGTGGACATACTTGGTGTTGAGGTGGGAGAGTGAGTCGACTGCCTTTTCTCCAGCTTCGCCGGGAGTGAAGACAAGAACACAGGTGTGAGACTTGGGAGCGAGACACTCCTCGGTGAGCTTCTCCAGACTAGAGATAGTAGAGATAGGAATGATAGTAGGGACTGCCTCAGCAGCCTCAGTGGAAGACTCCTTTGACTCAACGGGCTCCTCCTTTGCAGCCTCGGTAGCCTTGCTCTTCTTGGCGCTCTTAGCGCTCTTGGACTCGGCCTTCTTGGGCTTTGAGCTCTTGGTTTTGCCAGTAGCGTGAACGGGGTTAGGCTCTCCAGCCTGAGAGAGAAACTTGACCATATCCTTCTTGGCCATCTCGCCATCGTAGACGATAGGATCCTTGCCTTCACCCGGGATGAGCACAAGAGCGGGGAACTTCTCAATGCCAAACTTCTTCACCGCAGCTGTCTCCTTATCACGGATCTGGGCCACCGAAACAACATCAAGGAAGTCAATGGCAATGCTTCGGATCAAAGCACTAGTCGTTCCCTTTGAAGTGAAGAGGATAGCCTTGGGCTTATCACCCTTGAGGAAAGAGTCAAGATCCTTGTCGCTCACACGCGTAACATGGTTGTTGATCTTGCTCATGACAGCCTCTTGAATAGCACCTGCAGTTCGTTGACCCTGGTAGTCTTCAACAACAGGGTTACCAGTCTTCTTTCCAGGGCGAACGATCTTGAGAGTTGGGAAGCCCTGGACACCCATACCACCACAGAATTGCTTGTTGGACTCTTCATCGCAGTCGATAGCTGCGACTTGAGCAAGACCATCGAGGTTCTTGGCGGCCTTTTCATAGGCGGGCTTGAGGTTCTGACAGTGACCGCACCACGGGGCGTAGAACTCGACGATCTATGATGTGTAAGTGGCGATAGTCATTGGCGATGAGGTGAAAGACTTACAGAGGTGTAGTTGGACTTTGCAATGAGCTTATCGTAATTGCGAGCGTTGACCTGAAGGACAGGTGAGTTCTTGGTGTAGATGGCGGCTTGAGCCTCTGGCAGAGCCGCAAAGGCAGCTGTCAAGGCCACCAAGAGCGAGGTGGGGTTAGGCATGGTGAAGTAACTCTCCGGTACAAGAAGGCAAAAAGAAGACAGTATTTAATCGTACTGTAGTGAAATAGAATGACTTGTACAATGTTTT